TAAATTTTATTTTTTAAACTATGTGATCAATGTGTAAAGGCAGAAAAGAGATCTGGACACATCAATGACATGAAACCACGAATTCAGACTCAGTATTAAAACCTTAAAATGAGCCCAGCTGTAATTTAAAAAAATTAAATATATTTATATTAAATATATTTAAATATTTGAATATATTTAAATATTTCTGCTTTCACAGCCTAGGAATTATTCTTCCCAACAAACCCTCTGTTTTTCTCAGGCACAACTGGATGATTCCAGGTTCCTGGATGAAGTACAGGAACAGAACAATAATTCATTTGAATAAATCTGTAGTCCAAAAAGATTCCTGACTTTGCTGCCATAAACACTGGAAAGGTGTAAACTTGAAAAGGTACAGGAAAGTGCTAACCATAAATATTTGTCTAAAATAAACAATCACACAACCGTAACTGCTGTGAATGCAGAAATGTATACTGGAGCTTCATTAACTTCCCTGATTGGAAATTAGAATATTCTGGGAATCAAACAATAAAAAATTCAAAGATGCTGTATCCCAAACTATGATAAATCATTTATTTTGACAAGTACGGGTAGTTTAGTTTTAATTATTTATTCTTATACTTCGTAGCATATCAGAAAATATGCAGTGATTTATTGTGCAAAATGAAATCTTAATAAAACGAGTCCCTTCACCAAACTACAGCATTATTAAATCTTCATGGAAACGCAGGGGGAACTCTGGGTTATGTTATCAAGTTTTGTCATTGAGCTGCTGGGTTAACAAAGTGAAAAGGAGCCCTTCCTATTGTATTTGATTTATTGTGCCCTCAGTAGGAACTGAGCCACAGGGTGCTACAGGCCTGGGGATGAGCAGGGGATGGACAGGGAGGGACAGAAAGGGACAGGGAGGGACAGAAAGGGACAGGGAGGGACAGAAAGGGACAGGGATTCTGCACCATGGCTCTCCTGAGCCTGGACATGACGGAATTGCACCTTTCCCCATGAATCCAAAGGGGGTTCTGGCTTCTGATCCCACACCCTTCCTAAAGCCCCATGGCAGGAGCCAACAGCTCCTCCCTCCAGGCAGCTGCAGCTGGACCAGACATTCAATGCACCATTCTTGTCTTTTTTATATAAAAACCCTCTCAGGACTTCCCAAGGGAAGGGTTACACCCACATCACCCTCACAGGGGGTGCAGCTTGGTGGCCTCTGATCTCTGCCAGCCCTGCCACAAAACCCCACTCAAGATTGTGGATTAATGGCACTGAGCACCTGGATGAGCAGCTGAGAAAAAAAGAGCTGTCACCTCCCCTCATCTGCAGCACCCAGTGAGGGATTCGTTTCTCTCACTGTGATGTTTTGTGGGAAAATTCAGTTTACACCTTGTGTTAATGGCACAATGGAGAGGGAGGGAGCTTTGTGGTCACTACACCTCCCTCTCTCTGAGCAGAAAATTGCAAAGCTCACTGGCATTTAAAGGCAATTATTCTGATGAGCCAGTAATTTGTTCTGGGGTTGGTATTAAGCAAAGTAGCCCAGAAAGCTCCTGCATGAAAAAACTTGAGGATCCAAATGAGAAAAAACATTGGGAGAAGAGAGGTGATGAAGATGAAGATAAGAATGGTCCCTGCTTCACCCCACAGGACACAGGGCTGGCAGCCACAACATCAGCTCTGTCCCTGTGGATTTGATCATTTTTATGGACACCTGGACCAAAGTCAGGGGGCACACCCTATTCCCTGGAGAGGGAAATGCATTCCCCACCTCCCAGGAGCCAGAGAGGAACAGCAAAGGAAGTTCTGAAGTGCCAGCTCTGGATTTAAAAAGAGAAAGGTATTTTCAAGAAGTGTCAGATATATGAAAATCTACATAAATTTCTTTTTCCCATTATTTTTAGTGGAAATCTGTGCTCTGAATCCCAGTCATCTGGGTCAGAGTGCTAATTCCAGAGCAGCAAAACATCACATCCACAGCAGCAAGGCAGTCCCTGAGCAGAGCAGGAGTCGTGCTGAGCACTACTCTTTAAAGGTAGCCTTAATAATGGGGAATGAGCACTTACTGAAATGGTAAAAGGAAATGTTAATTTAACTATTAAATACATAATTAGGTTAAGTACTTGTTTCTGCAATTGTAACACTTCAGCCTGATGCAAACTCACTTTCTGGCCTGTGCAATAGATTTAATTTCTCCCAGTAATTTTTTTTTTTTTCAACTGTGAAGAGGTAAAACACAGGAATTGCTGCTACAAAGATGAGATAGAATCCATCACAGTGCTTTATAAAGGTAAAGCATCACACAAGGCAGGGACTCTATGGGCAGCAAATGAGCTGAGCCTGCAGCAGCTCCTGCTGCTCTCCAGGATCCTGCCCTTCCCTTCTGCAGCTCCTCCAAGGCCACAGGGTCTCTTTGGGTCCCTCTTGGGGACACAAGGACAGCACAGCAAAGACATGGAGCTGTTGGAGCAATTCCAGAGGAATTCCATGGAGCTCCTCCAGGGCTGGAAGGTGCTCATCTGGAAAGAAGCTCCAGGAAACCTCAGAGCCCTTGCAGGGCCTGAAGGGGCTCCAGGAGAGCTG